TAACTACAAGCTCTACTATAAAGCAGTAATAATTAAAACAGCATGGTACTGGAGCAAAGGAAGAGCTGCAGACGAATGGAACAGGGTTGAATATACTGACATCTCCCCCCAAGCATATGATCATCTAATATTTGATAAAGGGGCAAGAAAAGTGAAGTGGAGCAAGGAAAGCCTCTTTAACAAATTGTGCTGGCAAAACTGGACGGCTACATGCAAAAAAGTGGGCTCAGATCTCTGCCTAACGCCATGTACAAAAGTAAGATCAAAATGAATTAATGACCTCAACAGCAGACCAGAATCCATAAAGTTCATTGAAGACAAAGTTGGCAAAACCCTCCATGATATTGAAGCTAATGGTATCTTCAAAGATGTCATGCCACTGGCCAAGCAAGTAAAAACAGAGATAGACAAACGGGACTATCTTAAACTAAGAAGCTTCTGCACCTCAAAAGAAACAGTGACCAAAATACAAAGACATTTTACAGAATGGGAAAGGATATTCGCCAAATACACATCCAACAAGGGGTTGATATCAAGGATATACAAAGTACTGGTTGAACTCCACAAGAAGAAAACATCCAACCCTATCAAAAAATAGGGAAACGAAATGAACAAACTTTCTCAAAGAAGAAATCTGAATGGCTAAAAGGCACATGAGAAAATGCTCTACATAATTAATCATGAGGGAGATGCAGATCAAAACCACAATGAGATATGATTTCACACCACAGAGACTGGCCCACATCCACAAGAACAAAAGCAACTGGTGCTGGCACGGATGTGGCGAGTAAGGGACCCTCCTTCACTGCTGGTGGGAATGCTGACTGTTCCAACCCTTTTGGAAAACAGTATGGACTATTCTCAAAAAATTAGAATTTGAGCTCCCATTTGACCCAGCAATACCACTCCTGGGAATACATCCCAGAGAGGCAAAAAAGTATAGTCGAAGTGACATCTGCACTTGTTTGTTCATTGCAGCACTCTTTACAATAGCCAGAATCTGGAACAAACCTGAGTGCCTGAGAACAGATGACTGGTTAAAGAAACTTTGGTACATCTACACAATGGAGTACTATGTAGCTGTTAGGAAATATGAAGTCATGAAATATCATGTTAAGCGAAATGAGTCAGAAAGGGCAGGATAAACACTGAAAGACTGCAGTGATTTTAAACCTCTAATTTTTCTGACATGTGACAGAGGAGACCACTTAAGGATTTTTCCTAAGAAAGTATTTTGGTCTAATTTGCATACCTAATGAAGTAATTTGATTCTGTTTTAGTTTGTTTCTTAGATGCCACACCTGGCAATGCTCAGGAACTACCACACCCATACCTAGTAGTGCTCAGTGGTGTTATGTGCTAATGAGGTTAGAATACAAGTCCTAGTGATGTCCGTGGGCCCCATGGGTGACGGCTTTGTTTTCTGTATCCGCAAGGTGGGTCATTCCTAGAATTCTTCTTCCATGAAACTTTGTTTCATTGCAAAGGGCCTTTCCCTATCTACCTGCCTACATCACTAGTATATGCTAGGCATGGATATTTTTTGATGGAGCATCCGATACCCAGCATGCTCAGGAGTTACTCCTGGCTTTGCACTCAGGAATCACTCTCAGAAGAGCACAGACCATATGGAGTGTTGGGGAATGAACTGGTTGGCTGTGTGTAAGGAAAGTGTATGAGAGCTATCTGATTGCTCTGAAACCTATAGGCAATTATTTTAACCCTTGGCTATCTCTTTCGAACTTCTGGATTTGTTTTGGCAACTGACTAAAGAGATACCACTGCCTATATAGGAAGACAAGTTATAAAGCTTTCTTATTTTATTTTTTATTAAGTCACTGACGATTTGATAAGGTTATTCATAACTGAGTTTCAGTATACTAGTCTGTTCAAGGTATCATAGCAAAGTTCCATAAATTAGGAAGTTTAAACAACAAAATTAATCTCAGTAGAATATATTTCTGATAGTTATCTACTAGTCTTAAGGACCTAGGGCTTCTGGTCATATTCTTGTGTGATATTTCCCTAAAGGATGTACATGGGGTGGGGGTCATGAGTGACTTCTCCAAAATCTCAATTTATAAGGGCACTAAGATACGTTAACACAAAACCGACAGCAGCAGTCTATCTTTCCAGTCACCTGCATTTGGTAGTCTCAGGCCATTTCCCCCACTCCAGGGAGGTCGTTGGTGATGGGCAGGCGAAGGAAGGAATGAGGGCCAGGTTGGTTGGTCTTAGTTGCAGTTTATTCCAATCCTCTCTCCATTCACTCCTGTCTCTCCTCTGCCTCTCCCAGACCACTCTTACAGTCTCATTATATCCCATAAAAGAAATTTATGTCATGGAGGGCCCAGGTTCTCTCAGACCTGTGATCTCCCATTCTTTCAGGCCTGTGTTCCCCCTAGAGAGCCCCGAAATCTCCTTTAGTTGATCATGGTACCTCTCAAGTGCGCAATGCAATGATCTCATTAAAAGGAGTTACAGAAAGAACATTGAGGCAGCAAAACATACGTTGTTTCTTCAGGCCAGTAATTTTGGCCTCTGAAAAAAGATACAAAACCAAAACTGTACATTTCTTGAGCTACAAGCAGTTGGATTTGCATCCCAAAAACTAGTCTGGCTAGAGCTTGGAATCTACATCCCAAAGACAAGTATCTGAGTTTTGCATCCCAAAGACTAGTTTGGCTAGAGCCTGGAATCTACATCCTAAAGATCAGGCCTGGCTAACACCTGAGATCTGCATGTCTAAGACCAGCCAGGTTTCTGTAAGAAAAGGAAAACTGCCTCTTACAATAGACTGAAATTATTTACTAAAGGGAGTTTGAAGGGAAAAATGTTCAGCCTCATCCAAACCAGTCAGGCCACATGAGAAATCTTGCAGGTTGGGGTAACAATTACACATAGGTGTGGTCACAATCAATAGGGGTAGAGTTCTTTCTCTTGGGGAAAGCTGCTTCTAGGACAGATTCTCATTTAACAGATCAGCTCACCCTAGAACGAAATCCTCTGGGAGTGTTTCTCCTCTCCTTGTCCAACAAACATATAAGTGTACATAATATCAATCATTTTGTATGGACACAGTAATAATTGCTCTTCTACCACTATCTCCATCTTAGACTACAGTGCTCAGGCCAGATAGTCTTTCCTATCCCTAGCAGGGTCCTAGTCTTGTCGTTACTTTTGGATCATGACAGCATTTGTCTATGATCAAAATCCTAACTTATAGTTAAGAATCATGGCAGTTGGCCTAGCCCATCTCGATGCCAGGGTAGCACATAACTTACCGCTTGCCCTGGTTTCATCCAGTCCCTCCTCGGGACCCTGCTTTTGGGGGCGCTAGGAAGTGAGGGCAACTGAGGCTTAAGTTGAGAAAGCAGATGCCTTGGAATGAATAATATTCAAAGCCAATTAAATCCTAAATTACAAAGCACAATATTAACTGTCTTCCTGTATCTATACAAAAAGGACATTGCATTAAAGTAAACTATTCAAAAGACATTAGGAGAGGAGAAAGGCAATATTGACTTACAATACAAGTTCAGTATCCTAGAAGGATCTGACCTTACAAATTAACAGATTCTGAGTAGGGGAAAAACTGATTATCTGGTTGGGGAAGAGCGCATAGAGAAGTGGTTACAGATAAACAAAGTAATGAGAGTGACTCGGGAGCACTGTGATGGGTGTGACTCAATGAACCTAAGCTCCTTGTGGCAAGGGAGAAAAGGACAAATCAATTGTTATCCTACACTAAGACAATCAAACTGGGATTCTATTCTCATGACACCTTATCACCAGGATTGTTTCTTCGAGAAAACACTTCTAAATATGGCCACACTCGGAGGAAGGGGGAGGTGGCAGAACTTCAACAATTCGAGTTTGGAGGGACACACACATTTAGTCTCTGAATCTAAGTAGCTATTGCTTATATAAGTTTCAGTGATAGATTTCAATATGTCCTAAATAGTGGGGCAGTATACCGTTCAATCCCAAAGCCAAGGTTTCAATCTCTAATAGAAGCTGTGCCCTAGAAATTTGTTTCTGATACAAAAATGACATGACTCTGATGAGATTTGCTTTTAGTACAGGCTAGTAGCATGTAACCCAGCATAGAACATATTGGCCTTCCTGTAGAAGAAGACAGGATGTCCACTCCAGAAGAGATGGTGATTCCTGAATTCAGATTTGATCAGTATAGATATATAAAAACATATATATAGTAAGAATAGTTGGAACCTGATGAGGATTTGAAACAATTCCTAGGGGTCAAAAACAATGTTCTTGTAATTGTACCATAATAACCTATGAAGAAAATAGGTTGTGGAGAAAGTAGACAGACAGGGCTATAGATAGGTAGGTGGTTCAAGAGAGGGCCAAGTAATTATTTATAATTCTGTATTTCCTGCAAGACAGTGACATGTCCATGAGAAGGGACTCATGTCTTCAATATGGTACCTAACTTAAGAATTCAAGATCCAACTGCTTCTTAAATGAAAAATTTTATATTGTGATGACAAGAGTTCACTTTTACTAAGTATTATTCAAATTTTTGTTAAAATTCCTAGAATTCCTGAAGGCTAAAATACTGAGAGTAAAGTCATGAAATTGTATGTTAGTCTCATCTGAACTCTCTCAGGAAGAGGGTATTTTATTTCTGTTTCTGTTTTGATTATAAGTCAGATAACATTACCTCTGTTCTTTCTCCCTATACAGAGTGTTCACTTACTGCAGTTCACAGAGCATTAGAGATTTTCTAATATTAGAGATTTTCTCTTTCCAAATCTTCATGCAACTGAACCCTCAGAAGTGGTTTGTTTTACTTATTATAATATTCTTCCAGGGGTTATTTTTCTTCTTGTATACCTCTGTAAGTTTAGATATCATGAGATGAAGCATCATGTGTATATATTTTTCTTGATTACTAATTTGAAAAGCATCATTTAAATTTCCCAATTAATTTCATAAATTTGTTCACTATTGAAATAGTCTTATTTTTCTTCTAGATAATATGAAAGAAGATATGTTCAAGTGGAATCAAACTACTCTTTTGTATCATGGTAATATTTATAAATTGCCCCCTCTGGCATTATTAATACTAGAAAATATAATTTTATACCTTTATGTTTATTTATTATATGATAACCTATACACACAATATACACATATAGAAACATATACATATATGTTTACATATACACACGTCATTCCTCCCAGTGCTTTATATGAAGCACATGATTTAGCTTAATACATTGATTTAATACACATGATTTAGTTTAATACATTGTCAGACCAGAATTCTTGTTAGATCAAAACATGAAATAAAAGGCAATATCTCTAATATCCAGACACATTAGGTACATTGATCCAGATGAAAATCTTCAAGTGATTCACTTGGATTAGAACTTGGTGCTCAAAATATTAAAATATTTTTAATATAGGTACACAATATAATTTAAAATATGCTTTTAATATACATTTAAAATGTTTAAAATAATTTGAAATATACATCTGGAGCGATAGCACAGCGGGTAGGGCGTTCGCCTTACAAGCGGCCAACATGGCCGACCCGAGTTCGATTCCTCCGCCCCTCTCGGAGAGCCCGGCAAGCAACCGAGAGTATTCGATATGCCAGACACAGTAACAACAAAGTCTCCAATGGAGACGTTACTGGGCCCGCTCGAGCAAATCGACGATCAACGGGAGGGCCTTTACCTTTACCTTTACCTTTATACATCTAACTCTATACCAATGAAAGCAAATTATCTTAATTTTTAATATCTCTAATGTTATATAATGAAAAAGAAAAACTTGCATTTCTTTTATATAAAAGCAACTATTTTGTTTCTTAATAGTTTACTTACAGATTTCCTAAAAAATAATTCAATTAAAACCAAAACTAGATCTTTGTTACATTTTATGGTTATCAATCAAATCTTTGAGGACAACTATTTTTATGCATAAGTGTTGGGGGTTTTCATTTACATGCACATGTGCTTTTCTAAGTGTTGCATATATTTATATTTTCATTAACTGTGTGGTGAATTTAGTTAAGATTCTCTCCAAAACTTAAAGAACAACAGAACAAGCATCATTTTAATTTGTCACTGAACTCACCTTAAGCTCTATAGCTCCATGCAATTTCTGAATATTTATTGTTTATATTTGAGAAACTTGACTTGAGGATTTTTTCCTTCAGGTCAGTTTTGGCCCTGCAGACTTCCATCACTTCCGGATACAGTGTGTGTCTTGTACAAGGAACGTTTTATTCAAATAGTACAATCAAGACAAATGCTCATGCTCCTCCCTCTAGGTCACTGTCCTCCCGTTGTTTTTCTCGAGCAGGCCCAGTAATATCTCCATTGTGAGACTTTGTTGTTACTGTGTTTGGTATATCGAATACACCATAGGTAGCTTGCCAGGCTTTGCCGTGTGGGCGAGATACTCTCGGTAGGTTGCCGGGCTCTCCGAGAGGGGCGGAGGACTCGAACTTGGGTCGGAGAAGTTTTAAAATGTTTCAAAGAGCATACCATCATTGTAATACCTGCCAAAAATAGCACCTTGGTACATCATTATATTTTGCTCGTAGGTTTTCCCCAGAGTTTTGCACACCCTCTATGTTGGGGTTTATCTTTACTTCGTTCACAATATGGACGTATAATTGCTTTCAGGAGTCGAAGGGATCCAATCCTGTCTGGAAGTGGCAATGTCATGTGTAAGCGATGCGGTTTGCAATGCACAATTGGCCCCTTACCTTAAAGCTTGCTCAGCAAATGGAAATCTGTGTGATGTGAAACAGTGCCAAGCAGCCATACGGTTCTTCTATCAAAACATGCCTTTTAACATTGCCCAGATGTTGGCTTTTTGTGACTGCGCTCAATCTGATACACCTTGTCGGCAGTCCAAAGAAGCTCTTCACAGCAAGCCATGTGCAGTGAACAGAGTTCCACCCCCGACTTGCCTCGATGTAATTCACAGCTGCCGAAATGATGAATTATGTAGGTGAGTAGATACACACATACCTTACTTTCTGATTTCGGCACCCTATTTGTTACACTCCAGACCTAACACTTGATCTCATTACATTAGCTAGAGTTCCCGCCACCATCCAACACGATGTAAACAAAACCAGACAATTCATATTCTGAAATCTGTGCTGCATATGTAGTATCCTTTTTGAAATTCAAATGCAGACATCTTTTGGGCAGGGGGACAATGTGGGGGGTTGGGGGTGGGAGGATGGGGCCAGCTCAGGATGTTGTTAGGGCTTGGTAGTTATGAAATGCCATTATTAAAATTATTTAATTTAGACTAATAAATTGGTAAATAGACCTGACTGATGTGTCAGATTTCTTTTTTCAGTGTGATTGTATGTGTGATTGTATCAGGCTACTAAATTTAGAATTTTGACAAGGCCGTGCTTCAAACCAGAGTAAATTATTTTCTGTCTAGCTTGGCGGTTAGGGGGAGAGGGTTAGTCTGAGTATGCTCTGGACATCACCAGCACACATGCTTCGAAGTAAATAATGCTCTATTCTCCTTATCTTAACTTCACACCCTGTATTCTCCGGGGAAGAATATTAGACACTTATTTGTTTATTCACAACAATTTATTAAGCACTCAGTTCTACTCTAGACATCAATGCAGTTAGACACTTATTTGTTTATTCACAACAGTTTATTAAGCACTCAGTTCTACTCTAGACATCAACGCACAAGTACATCTGCACTGCAAGCTTATGTTCTAGTATGGGAGGAGACATAATAAAACAAGACAAGTATGTTGTATCAAGAATATGTATGTTATATGTTATATCATATGTTAATAAGTACTCTGGAGACCAAAACACATTGAGACACAAAAAAGAACAGAAGAAGGGGGATTCTGAGTGAAAGAAGAGTTATGATGCAAATGGGGTGGTCTTAAATGGGAATATTGGCATGATCTTGGTAGGGACCAATTTAACACACTTAAAGTAGAAAATCAACCTCTCAGTAAGTGTAGAGGAAAAGATGCCACACAAGTGGTCTAGTCAGTGTTGAAAACTAAATATGCATGACACGTTCAAAAAGCATTGGCTTTCAAGCATGCAAGAGGAGAGCAAGAGTAGGTATCCTTAGAGATTTAACGGGGTTGGGTTCTGACCAGACCTAGTTAACAGAGAGACCTGACATTTAGGTCTATTTTTCAATCTCCGGGCTGGAGCAATGATACAGCGGTAGGGCATTTTCCTTGCATGCAGCCAACATGGCCGACTTGAGTTCGATTCCTCTGCCCCTCTCGGAGAGCCCGGCAAGCCACCGAGAGTATCTCGCCCGCACGGCAGAGCCTGGCAAGCTCCCCGTGACGTATTCAATATGCCAGACACAGTAACAACAAAGTCTCCAATGGAGACGTTACTGGGCCCGCTCGAGCAAATCGATGATCAACGGGAGGGCCTTTACTTTACTTTACTTTACTTAAGTTTTTTACTCTTTATTTTTGGAGGGGTGGTGTTGGGCCATACCCAGCAGTGCTCAAGGTTTACTCCTGACTTTGTATTCAGATAGGCCTTGGGGACAAATCAGAGTGACAGATACTGAACCCAGACTAGCCACATGCAAGGCAAGTTCCCTATCTACTATCTCTCCAATCCCTCACTCTGTTACTCTTCACCTGATCACTTGACATCTCGTTATTTATTGATTTGCTCAAGCGGGCGGCAGTAACGTCTCCATTCATCCCAGTCGCGTCCTAGTGTAGCCCAATGGCATCTGCTCATTCTAGGAACACAAAGAGCCTCAGATCGATCATTCAGGGTACTGATGAAGAAGTCTGATCATCTCATAGGTGGGCGGTCACATGATCTTTTGACGTCTAGTGGAATCCAGTCGGTAACGGCTTTAGTCCAGCGGTCATCTCTAAATCTCATTACATGTCCAGCCCATCTGATTTTCGACGCCTTGGCAAATGAGACAGCGTCCCTGATTCTTGACCATCGAGGAAGGTCAGAACTTCAGATTCTTTCTCTCATTTGAGTGAAACATGATACTCCAAGCATAGCTCTTTAGATTCCTCCTTGGGAGACCTGTATAGTGTTCTCATCCTGTTTGTGTAGGGCCCAGGTCTCTGAGGCGTATGTTAATGCAGGAAGAACAGTGGAATTGAAGAGATGTGCCCGGAGCCGGAGGTTTTTTGTCCTCTTAGCTATTTCTTTGACGTTCTTGAAGGCATTCCAAGCCACTCTCTTCCTCCTGCGCAGCTCGGGTGCCAGGTCATTCGTCATTTTGACTTCTCGACCTAGGTACACATAACTGTTGCATTCGGAGATGGTCGTTCCATTGAGAGCGAATGGGGCGTCAGGAACGAGGCTGTTTCTCATAAACATTGTCTTTGTAAGATTCAGCTGTAGTCCTACCTTTCCACACACTCACGGTCAAAGTCGGCCAGCATTTGTGCCGCTTGGCTGATGTTTGGTGTTATTAGAACAATGTCATCAGCAAAGTGGAGGTGGTGTAGTTGCCGACCATCTATCTTCACTCCCATTCCTTCCCATTCCAGTTGTCGCATGATGTTCTCGAGGGTGGCACTGAAGAGTTTCAGTGAAATGGTATCATCCTGCCGAACCCCTCTCTTGACATGGATGATTACTTCTTTGTAGAATGGTGAGATCCTGGTAGTGAATCCGCAATACAGTTCACGTAGGATCCTGATATATTGACTTTGAACGCCCTGTTTGACTAGAGCATCAATGACAGCTTCAGTCTCAACAGAATCAAAGGCCTTCTTTAAATCAATGAATGTTAGACAGAGTGCCATCTTGAACTCCCAAGAAACCTCAATGATCTTGGTTATCGTGTGGATATGGTCAATCGTGCTGAATCCTTTTTGGAACCCAGTTTGCTCTCATGGTTGTTCTTCATCTAGTGTTCTACTGATCCTATTCAGGATGACTCAAATGAACAGTTTATAGACGACAGACAACAGTAACTCTGGTACTCTTAGCCATTCTAATTTTCATGATGGTTCAGATCTTGCAAACATTTATCACATAGCTCCCTTATAAGATATTTTATTAATTAAAGGGTAAAATTCTAAGCAGAATGCTGCAGAATTGACAAAATATTTCAACTTTTCATAGAAAAGATACTTAAGCATATGTCATGCAAATTTTTCAAGGTTTTTAGCTGTATTATTTAAAAACAAATAATGTAATTAATAATAAAATGAATTAAGGCTGTATATGTAATTCAAAGACGGAACACTTGCCCTGAATATATGAGGTTCTAGTTTTACTCCTTACTTGCAAAAAAACAAAAACAACTAATTATGCAATGGAGATTTTTCCAAATTTATTTATATTCTCCACGTTTTTGATAAAGGTTACATTGATGCTAAAATGCAATGTTTTTAACACATTTTAATATCATAAAACATTTGAAATGAGTCTTAAGCTCAATAACAAGAAAACTTTTACTAAATTAGAAAAACATTATAACTAAATGCTAAATGGTGATTTTAATTTAAATAAAATAGCTATATTTCATGTGATAAATTTCTAATTGTCACAAATAGAATATCTTGATGAACAATATTAGTTGTCAAGATGAACGGAAGAATCCTTTCATTTCCTCAAGCGAATTTTGCCTTAGGGAAAGTTTCCATTAAATTACTCTTAATAAAATTCTGATAAATTAAAAACATTACCAAATGTAGAAGAGGCAACAAATGTACATGGAACAAAGCAGAGGAAAGATTCTAAAATACAACTTCTGAAGCCAAAACAGAGAACAGGGGTCAAGTTGCTCACTTTTGTATCTCTGCAACCCAGCTCGGAATACCAAGCACCCTGGAATTGGCCCCACACACTTCCCGTGTCACTCCTGAGCACAGACCTGGGAAGGGTGTCTGGCACTGCATTTGAGATGAGTGTCCAGGAGTGGATCATCTTCTGTACATTTTTATAATCATACGTCTTATTTGCAGATACGGAGCTTTTTTACCCATTTTGAACTGCTTTGCTATGTATCACTGTCACTGTCCTCCCGTTGTTCATCGATTTGCTTGAGCGGGCCCAGTAACGTCTCCATTGGAGACTTTGTTGTTACTGTGTTTGGCATACCGAATACGTCACGGGGAGCTTGCCAGGATTTGCCGTGCGAGTGAGATATTCTCAGCAGCTTGCCGGGCTCTCCGAGACGGGCAGAGGAATCGAACTCGGGTCGGTCATGTTGGCTGTGTGCAAGGCAAATGCCCTACCGCTGTGCTATTGCTCCAGCCCATCAGAGACCATACACTATATAAAAGATGACTATATATAGTGTATATATGACTGTACACTGTATAAAAGATGGCAGCTTCACCATCTCTACCCTGCCCCGTCCAGTTGCTCATAGCGAGGAACACCCATGCAATCACAGGACCTATTCATTGACCACTCTCTTTTAGCTATGGAAGCCAGTCACCAGCCTTCAGACTAACAAATACAGAGGTCTTAGGCAAACCAGGAAATTAGTTGGTGAGGTTGCCCAGTGAATTTTGGATTATTTGTTCTTATATTTTAGATGGGAGTCTTTCCCTCTCTTGTTTTGTTCACATACAAAATGTTGGGCTGGAGCAATAGCACAGTGGGTAGGGTGTTTGCTTTGCACACGGCCGATCTGGATTCGATGCCTCCGACCCTCTTGGAGGGGCCGGAAAGCTACTGAGAATATCCTGCCCACATGGCAGAGCCTGGAAAACTCCAGTGGCATATTCAATATGCCAAAAACAGTAACAAGTCTCACAATGCAGACATGACTGGTGCCCGCTCTGGCACATCTATGAACAACAGGAGGATAGTGCTACAGTGCTACAAAAATGTTATGTATTTCTGAGTGTTGATTTTTACCTACCACGTTACTGTACAGATTTATTGTTTTTAAGCAGGGTTTTTTTTTTAGAATCTCTAGGGCTTTATGTGTAAAAGGTAAAGGTAAAGGTAAAGGCCCTCCCGTTGATCGTCGATTTGCTCGAGCGGGCC